TTATTATTATTATTATTACTATTATTATTATTATTATTATTACTACTTTATTTATTTATTTAGCTTTTTGTATCGAGATGCATTGATGAAGATTGTGGAAGGATATTTCATTTTAAAAGTTATTTTGAATGGACGAAAATAAAGCAGGTGTAAATTTAATTGTTTAAAAGTACACACAGGGATTGTGCATTTCCAGTTGATATTTGGAATAGGGTTGGGCAATATTGGCAAAAAAAATTTAATCAYGATTAATTGTATTTAGCCGATAACGATTAATTTGACGATTAATCCCCTGGAGTTCCTGGACACCCTCATGCCCTAGTCACATGACCAATTTAGTGGGAAAGATTTGCTCTTCATACAAATCTGTTCCAAATTGTGTCAAAATTACAGACTTCAGGCTATATATCAAATTTTAAATTTTGTTGATAGATAAATAAATTACACAACTTTAAAAAAAATGTCATCATATTTGAAGTGGAGAGGAGCACCGAGTGGACTGAAATCTCCAGTCCGTCTGCCAGGTGACATAAATCGTATTAATCGTCAAGTGCCAAAAAATAATCGATTAATGTTTTTCTGACGATTCATTGCACACGATACGATTATGCCCAACCCTAATTTGGAAGACTGGATAAGTGAAATAAATTAACCATATTTCTTATTATTCTTTAATGTTTTTCCCTAGCCAAACCTTAATCCAATTTGAATTCTAACTCAATGAGTAGGTTATAGTAACACAGGTTACTTTAAAAGGTATCTGTCTCCTTTTCATACCAACAAAAGTCTGTGTCCAGTGTGACCATAACAGCAAAAAAGTGAGGAAAGTACAAAACACCCAGCAGCACCCACTCTGGTGCAGCGAGGAGTTACTAAACAGCAACAAAGATCCTGCCTTTCAGGCCACAACTAGGCGGGACACCTGCAGCCCAAAGATAAGAGACACTTCTTCTCAAGGAAATTATTTTAGATATGAAGGAAGTCATTTAGGTTAAATAATGAAAAAAAACATCAATAAATAAAAAGTTGGTCTCAGTTTTCAACCTATTCAACACCTAAACTGCAGCTTTGACTCTTCTTCTCAGCATTTTCACAGCCCTAATTGAATTCTTTTAAAACTTGTGAGTGAAACTCTTCCCAGGTTTGTGTCATTAGTAAACACCTCGGTCTATCAGGACCTGCAGGATGAACGGGTGGGCCGCTGACTCATGTGACTCCCGCTGACCTTTAGCGCGACTGCCTCGGCTACAAACCTGAAAGCTCTTATCATGCAGAAGAAGCCCTTTTGATTAGAGGTGAAGCTTTGACAAAACAAAGTCCTGTCGCTTTGTATTCAAACGTGCGTTTTTGCTTGTGCTTTCCTCAGATGGGAAACCGAGAACGTCATGAAAGAAAATGACACTGGGGGGGATGAGCAAGATGAACAAAGGTAGATCAGTGAGCTAACTGCAGATATGTTTCCTCTGGTATATTTAAATGGTTCTGATGTAGCTCCTGTGGTCCTGTATTGTTGCATTAACACTGTTGCTTTTTAGACCAATGAAAGGTATAAAACACCTACAAGAGAAAATCTAGCCAACACATTTTCCTCATTTTGACTTTTAGAAAATGACTGTTCTTGGATAGTTTGAATGCATACTTTTCTGTTTATAAACAAACAAAATTTGCTGGTTGTGTTCTACATATGGTATGAGAGAAATATTACAAACCTGTGACATGGTTTTATGTTTTAAAGGGTTGCCAGTGAGAATAATGAAGAAGAGGTGCCAATGAGTCGAAGTTTCTCAGTAGAAGACCTCCTAGACGAGGTGGAGAAGATCTGTTATGATGCTTCAGGGACTTCGAAGGTTAAAAAAAACATCAGTTACTAATCTTACCTTTCACTCCACACTCTACAGTTTGTCTCTTTAGTCTGTTTTGTGAAGTGTTGGTGGCAAATTAGAATCATTGGGCCTCATGCAAGAACATGTTCGTATTCTTATCCTAAATTTCTCTTACTTTTGTTCGTATGAAGGGTTCGTACGAACATGTCACGTCAGATTCAACAAACTCTTCTATCTTCATGAAAAGTGTGTAAATGAGCTGCGTAAATTCCACCTGTTCTATCCAGCTGCTCGTGCATGCGAGAGGAGATTAGCATAATTACCACCCCAAAAACACCGTATAAGGCTGTGTTTCCTGCCTCAGATATCAGGAAATGTCCATTCATGAAAATTACAGCAAAAATTAAAAAGAAAAACTTTACGAGTTCAGAGATTGAAGTCCGTCTGTCAGAGATCCAGAAAAGAAAATCTGTCATTTTTAGCAGGTCAGCTGTGGAATAAAAWGAGCTGCTAAAAGTATAAACAACTGTGTTAAATCATTTTCCTTTATTCAGAAGCCGTTGCTCACTGTATCCCCCCCACCACCACCACCACCACCCCCGCGCCGTGCGGTCGCAGGTGGTCTCAGTTGCGGTTCTGAAATAAGCATTTTAAAATGTTTTCAAAATAAGTCTGGCACTTTGGAGAAAATCCAGGACTTGCTGGAGAGATTGTGTATCCCCTCTGGCCTGGGAACGTCTCAGAGACCCCAGAACATGGAAGGGTTCGCTGGGGAGAGCGGGGTCTCTCTGCTGCTGCCCCCACGACCTGATCCCGGATAAGCGGCAGAAAACGGACGAACGGACAATTTATATTGTTAGTCTAAATTATGACATTTAAAATTATAACTCTAATTCAAGCAGAATAGCCTATTGTCAACATAATTATGGAGTGTGATTTATTTTCAACTCAAAATATCTTCAAACTAAAGAAATATAAAGTTATTAGTGAAGAAAACCCGTCTGGATAACAGCAGACTGACTGCTSGTAAAATATACGACAGGTCTGGACCACTCGTGAATTTTGTCCGTATCTGAAAAAAATCTTAGAATACGAAAACATTGGTGAATGCCACAAATTCTCCTAAATCACTCGTACGCACAACTTAAGAACAAATCTGTGCGTACGAACGGTTCTTGCATGAGGCTCGTTGTTCAGACCAACATAGAGTTTACTTTGTCTTAGTGCTCTAACCTGGTGATGTTACCTTTAGAGGTTCATCGATTGCCGTTTTCTGGCCAATCATCAATCTTTAAAAGTCAGATTTTGGCCAATACTGATTCAATTCAATTCAAAAATACTTTCTTGATCCCAAAGGGAAATTAGATAATTACTGTGATATTTAAATAACTGACACTGTCAGGTGTTATATGGTGGCAAATACACCTTCAATGTTCCAGTCTTGTTCCAAACCTTTTTTTAACTGGACATTAGGTAGTGCTCACAGCAGAGCAAAATGGGACAGTGGCTGATTTTCAGACCTTTGTGGCAGTAGATGAGAAGCAGATCTGTTAAATATCGATTGATCTCCCAAAATTAAGGAAATCAGTGCCGATAAATCAGCCGCCCKATTTATTGGTGGACCCTTAGTTACGTAGCCTGGTTAAAACCAGGCCCTTGTCCTTCGCTTTGCTTCGTACGAGGGTCTGGACTCTCGGCTATAGAGAAGAAATTCTTGCTGTAGGCGTGGCCTCTGCTGAAGTTTAAAATGATTGGATCGGTTGGCCGCTAGGGCTGGGTATCGATTCAGATTTCCCAAATTGATTCGATTCGACTCGCAGGGACCCGATTCGATTCACGATTCACAACAATTCAGGATGGTTCATGATTCAGTTTGATTGATTTTTAAATTAGTTAAGGATATCCTGCAGTAACACATTTACTTTGATATRKAAGACATTCTCAAAGGAACTAATTCTGTAAATAGTAGAAACTAATTCTAACTTGGTGCATTGGTGAAATTATAAACATWAAGGGCAAACTTGTAAATTGGAGTTTAATCTTGAAACAAAACTGTCTCAAGTTTCAAAGGGTTTAAACTAAAAAGGAATTGCAAGAGAAAGAGTTGTTGGATTAGTTTTTTAAATAAATTAAGAATAATTTTCTTGATAATTAAGAAGTGATGGAATAAGTTTACAGGAGAAGAGGTGGGCTAATGTAATTATACTCCTGCCCACTCTTTTGAGTGTATGAAAATTGTATATTTGTAATGTTTCTGTTAGCTTCTGTTCAATAAAACTTATTAACAAGAAAAAAGAAAATAAAATACTTCAGCTAAAACATTCCACCACTGAATTACATTAAGATGTTTTGTTAGACTGCCATCTTTCACACATTTATACAGGAGGAGAACAGTTTCAGTCAGATGTTTACATACAGTAGTTTTGGTTCGAGCTGCTCGAAGCTCCATTTCCCGCTACTGCATCCGAGCGCAAAACTTTGCAAACAAAAGTTGTCATGGCCTCTGTTATCTTTAAGTTCAGCTGAGAATCAGCTGTAATGTTAGTGATTCCTTTGTTTCTTTTGTTTTGCCCCAGATAACTTGTTGTCGGGAGCTAACATTAGCATTGACCGTCAACTGGATGTAAATCTACGGCAAGCCAGGAGTGACACACAACACGGAAACACACAGCTTCATCGCACGCAACACCCATGGGGAAAAATTGATCTCGTGACTTATGAATCGATCTTCCCAAATTTGAATGAGAACATATCCAGATCGATTAAATCGATTTTTTAAAACCCAGCCCTATGTGTGCCATCTCCACTGTGAAGTAGGCTAAGCTAAGACGCTAACCAGAAATTGCATGTGCTGTAAACAAACCTACTGAGAGGAGAGAAGGACCGAGCTGAACGAGACGACTGTAAATGAGAGCTGCTGCTTTGTCAGACAAATTTATTTTAATTTGGAAGTCTTATCAACACAGACTGGCTTCATTCACTTCCCCCACTGCCGTATGCTAAAATAACTAGCAGACACTGCAAGAAAGTCGATGTTCTGTTCTCTGATTGGCCCGAACGAAATTCTCCTGAAGAAATCCTTGTTTATGGGAGAAGTCCCAGACGGAGCAGTGAAGGCAAACTAGAATTGAGCGGAGCTGCGTAGGAAGGCAAGGGCCAGACTACTAGTTAGCATTTCAGACTGATTTTATTTCTGTATTCTCTCAGGTGGAGATGGTGGTGAGGCTGTGGAAAGATGGCTTTACGGTAAACGACGGAAACTTTCGCAGCTATTCAGTGACAGAGAATCAAGAATTCCTGGATGCTATTAAAAGAGGGTGAGTTTAATCGCCAAATACAAGAAATACACAGCTTTTCCAGTGATCATCAGTGACCTCTTTAATTAATGAAAGACCCAGCTCCTGCTGTTTTAAACGCCAGAGTTTAAATGTTTGTCTTGTGCTGAGGAGGAACAGAGTTAAAACCTTTTTGGTCCAACTTTGTAAACGTAAAGTGAGATCATGCAAGACCTGTTAATGTTCAGAGTAGATGACTCCGAGCTGCTGCCACATCAGATTTTACCTCAGTTTCTGTAAAACAACAGAGTTGTAGTAGGGCTGGGCGGTATGACCTCTTATTCATATCACGGTATAAATTGGATCCCTTCACGGTAACGATATATATCGCGGTAGAAAATTATCATAAAAGGCAAAGATAATGTAATTTTTAGAGCATTTATTTTGCAGAAAACTGTAATCATAATCAAAGCCAGTATTTTTGCTGTAGTGCAAATTAACATAACAGAAGTACAGAAGAATGTTTTACATATATTGTAAAACCGTTTCAACAACAAACAAAAACATTTTTCAAATTTTCAACAATGGAAAATAAAGTGGATGTTTATAAGCAGTACTTCAAGTAAAATTAGTCATTTAAACATAAAAAATTCAATGTTGTCTAAAATGTTATAGTGTGACAGGACCTTAAGGGGCTTAAGCTGCACATAGTCCTGTCATAAAACAATTTCAGATAACTGGAATGTAAGTGTGGTGGAGCCAAATAAATGTAATATCTGCCTGCCATACAATGAGCTTCTGCCTGCTGAACTTATGGGCTGTTGCTCTGCTGCGCTCTCATCTTCATCATCAGAGCAGAAGCCGACTTTAGGCTACATTAAGATGGATTTATGACTCAACAAATGTCCATGTCTTTTTTTTTATCACCTCTGTGGGTAACAATACATAAAAACAATTTTTTTCTCCGACAACTTGGGTGTGAAAAAACTACGGTTGTTAAAACTTCGCTCTGCGTTACGTGCAGCAGGAGGGAAGGRAGGAAATGATCCCGCATCCCGCGACACGATGTAACTTTTCTACAGCGGCAGGGGGTAATTTTGAGGATTTATTCTCTCTTTACGCATTTTAAAACACTGTAATTTCCTTGTTATATTTCAAACTCCTGCTCACTTGTCTCTGCACTCGCAGCCCTGTTCACTCAGGTGCGATGACGTAATGACGACAGGACGACAGAGGGTAAATTTCTACCATCTACCGCATATACTGTGCAGCCTTAAGTTGTAGCTATTTTTATGTTTGCTAATGTCAGTTAGCTGTGGTGATTATTTTGTACTGGAGTGACTCCAAAAGTTAATCAGCTGTAGACTAATGACTACTTCTTGAGATTTAAATCTGCCCACTGTGTGAGATAATGTGCTGACGCTGCAGACAAATGAACACAGACACAGTCAAATACACGATGGACCTTTGGCTGCAGATGAAGACATCTGTATTGTATTTAGGAGTCACTTGTAACGACTGAATCATCTTGGTTTCACACAATGAGACTTTGTAAAAAATCAATGATGGATAATCCCATCAGCACAGTTCCTTTGTTTTACTGATTGATGGGAACTTCATTCTGCCTCAGGGAGCTTCCAGCTGAGTTGGAGAGCCGAGCTGAAGAGGAGGAGCTGGAGATCAGTGTGGAGGACATGACTGAGGAAAACTACGTTCACAAAAAGGCAGCTTTTCACCCCTTCAGTGGGCGAGGATACCGACTGGGCAGGTGCAGTCTGTTGCTGTGAGGGTTCAGCTTTGATGCATTATTTCTTTTGATTAATAGCTTTGCCCTGTTTTAGTTTATTTAGCATGAGGTATCAAATACAGGGTTCCCGCGGTTACTTAAAAAGTCTTAAAAGGCATTGAATTTAGCAGTCCAAAAATTAGGCCTTAATTAGCCTTAAAATGTCTTAAATCAATCTTTCAGAGGTCTTAAAATAGGATGATTGTAATTCTTCTCAAATATTCAAAAACTGGTAACATTTGTTTATCTTTTTAAATAATTTATTGAATGCCCCTCGCAGCTAGTTGTTTTGTTTAAAAAATGGCTAAAATTGTTGCTAACGGGTTTTTTTTCATTTGTGTTTATCGGTCTTAATTTAATTTCAAGTGGCATTAAAGAGGTCTTAAAAAGTCTTGAATTTAACTTGCCTTAAATTAGGAACCCTGAAAAGTATAATTTTTCATCTTTTCCTATATTTGTGTAATGTTTGTTTTCACCACTAGGTGTCACTGTAAACCCATCCATGCAAACAGTAAAAGGCTAATCTGAGCAGGTGCATCTTCAAAACATTTTTAATAAATACCTGCTTTGCCAAACAGTTTTAAAATAAAACAAACATTTAAAATAACAGATTATTTAAAAAAAAGAAAAGAAACATATAATCCACTCTGTACAAGCTGTTGACACTCTGAACTGGCGGTTAATCTGTTGTTTATTCCCTCGTCCATTCCCAGCGTTGCGCCCAGAGTCGTGGCCAGGTCGCCATCTGTGCACGAGGATGGAGAATCTCCTCCTATCCCCATGGTAACATTAGATCACTCCCTTCCCGTGACCTCGCTGCAGATCTGGTTGGCTGACGGCAGGAGACTGGTTCAGAGGTTTAACCTATCGCATCGGTGCGTACCCCCACTGCCTGGGCCTAAACTCACCACTTCACACAGAAATCACTCCACATGTGGAATGCCTCCACGCTGTTCTGTCTGTAAATCCTATAATCTCGAGCATCGCAGGGAATAAGTCGTTGAACTTAAGGTTGAGGATTTTTTTTTGTTGTTGTTGTAGCGATGTTTAGGATTATGTAATGCTTTGTTCTAGTCTGATATAGTTTGAAAGCTGCATGGGGTTGCAAAGAAAAAAAGAGATAATCTGAGTTTTAGCAGCAGCGTAGATCTGTAAAATCCCCAGTGGGAGATTACATAACTCTGATGCAGCATTTATGTAGCAGGCTAAGAGAGGACTGAAGCTAGTGTCAGTGTGCAAAGGGAGCAGGGCTGCTGTAGGATCTCTTCTATACACTGGGCTGGCGTTAATAATAGATGCAATCCTGTGTCATGATGAGAAGCGTGTTTGACTTCTAAAAAGGAGCAGCCAYGTTTAGCTTGAGATGTTTTATTTGTCCTTCATTAATGTGGGGCGTGGGTTTTTATTTTTTATTTTTTTTGCCTCAGGGTTGCCGATGTTCAGGATTTCGTGACACGCTGCCAGAGAAACTGCCCGCCGTTCGTCCTGACCACGTCCCTCCCGTTCCGAGAACTCGCCGACAAAGAATTAAGTCTAGAAGAGGCGGATTTGGCGCACGCCGTCATCGTCCAGAGACCCCTGCACACAGAGCCTCTGTTTGGACACTCCTGACCAATCCAGTTCTAACATTTCACACAGCATGCCCCCCTCCCCGCCTCCAGTTTTACCTGACAGCAGCCATCTACTGCTCCTATAACACAAAATSATCCTTTATCGTGCAGTTTCTGCTGCCTTTTTTAATTCTCTTCGACAGCATCTTTGCTGCAGGTCAGTCCCCACCAGAGGAGTCACAAAGTGCTATGGACAGTGTTTACTTTGTCTTCTTCCCTCTCGAGGACAAAGTTTACCTGAAAATCAACTCAAAATCCCCAAATTGCAGTAAAGTCAAACCAGTGCTGCTCTTCCCTCCACCTCCTCATCTCTCATCTCTCATACACACAATGCAACTATAAAGTCTTCCCAAAGTCTRAATACTACTGTTATGCACTGTTTGCAGTTTGTTTTAAAAGGGGCTGAAAGATTAAGTTTACAATTCTACTATAAAGTATTGYTTTGATTGCACAGTCTTATGTTTGCCTTTTTCGTTTTGTTCTTTCAGGATATTTATGGGATTTTATCAAATTTTTTGTGAATATTTGCCTTTTGTTTTGTAGATGTTTGAGGCGTCAAGAATGTCATTTTGGCTTTTTGGCTGTTTGGATTCTAGAAAAACATATCATAAATCATGATGTAATTCAATAAAAGTCCTTGAAGACGTGCGTTTCGTCAACCATGAGTTACTTTTAGAGCTCAAAGTAAATCAAACTGACCAATGAATGTGCAGAATGAACATAATAATCATGAAGGAATAATTGACATCTGCCTACAAAACCGTATTTACTGTATGTCAAATGTCTGGTGATAATTTTACTTATGCAAAAAAAAAAAAAAAAAAAGAAAGGCCGACCATTTCATGAAAGGAATGCGTATCTCCCACCCACCTATCACATTATACAACATACAATACAGCTTTTTATTTGTAAAGAAATTTAAAATCACAGTTGGCCAAAGTGCTGCTAAAAACACAACAGCAAAAACAAAGAACCAACATCTAAAACAGAGTTAAAAGCCATAGAGCAGGGTGTTTGCAGGTCCTTAAAAAATCTTAAATTCACATATCTAAAATTAAGGCCTTATAAAGTCTTAAATTTGTTACTCAAAGGTCTTAAATTTTGTCGGGCAGAAGCGATTAAAGTTGCCTTCTAGAAGGATATAAAATCAATTAGTATGACTACATGAGCTATAATCCTGTAAATATTCCCTTTTGAATGAATTTTTTGGGGAGAAATCTGTCAAACAAAAAATGAATTACGGTAATTTAAAAATAAAAAAACTTACCGGTAATTTATTCTTTGTAAAGGAACTTTATGGGATAAAAATTTTCAAATATATCAGAGTACCTCAATTCCAAACACTGATATTACATAAAAATAAACTACAGAAAGTTGTTAAAACCTCTCTTCCTTCAGACATTTGTTGGATGGTGATGCTGCAGGTTAAAGTGCTTGTTTATTGACAGTTGGCTGGATGATTTATTTTTGTATAAAAGCAAAACTGGAGGTTAAAACACAATTAAGTTTCATGCCATGAATGTATTTAGTAGATGTATTTTATGTTGGTTGTTTCCAACCAAATTCTGCACTTGTAAAATACAGCTAATTTAACCAGAGAGCTGAATATCTTTATATTCAATATGTTTTATTGAACGACACATCGCTTATCAGTGTGCGTTGCCAATGCAATGCACACTATTGTGATTCGTTTCCCATCCAAGTCATCTCAACTTTGGCACACTTCTCCTGCATACTTTGTCCTAGAGCTGCCATTGTAATTTATATCTGTAAAGCTCCTATGCCAAAGGATGGCTATGCCTTTTGGTGCCTGTACAACTTATAGTTTTTGAAATATTTATGTTTAATAAATTATAATGGGAGTCAATGGACCTTGTATTGGTCCAATACTGCCCCCTGCTATATCTACTCAGTATGGAACTGCACCATAGTTTAATAATTACATTTAATCTCAATTATTGCAGTGATTACAATATTGTTATATATGTAATTTGATGTATTACTATATTATTGTCTTATAAGTATAAACATCTTATATAATATTGCTCTACTGTTGTAAGATTATGCAGTTCTTTGTCAACGATCGTCATTGGCAATGTTGCCTCTATCTACACACATAGAAAAAAAMCCACTGGGATTGTACTTTCTCCCAGCACCAATGGTCTTGTGATTAATGCCATAGCCTTTCATGTGGGAGATCAGGGTTTGAATCCCAGCTACAATAAGTTTAACAAAAAATTTATTCTAACTTCATATTTTCACACAATTACCCTCATTACAAACACCTGCTGACAGCCACAAGCTGGTACTTGATTAGAAAACACATTTGAACTTGGTCAGTTCATTCTGCAAGTCCACTGCTGCAGGCAATGACATGCTACAAGGCAATGCACACTTGTTTTTACATCGTAAAAACCCATGTCTAGTTTATTTTTTATTTTTTGGTCTTAAATTTCATTCAAGTGGCATTAAAAAGGTCTTAAAAAGTCTTAAATTTGACTTGCTAAAACCTGCAGATACCCTTTAGAGGAAAAAAAAAAAGGTGTTTAAGAGCAGATTTGTTGTGATTCTAAAACGGGTAATGTCCTCTTGTTTTTTTTWTTTTGGTACCGGTTCAAAGGCGAGCAGTTGTCGAGTCAGAAACGACTGGCTCAGCCCAACATAAAATGCATTGCAGCAGTCTAAACGAGTTGTGATAAACTGAACCAAAGGAAGGATGCTGTGAAAGAAATGGCTTGGCCTTATCAACTCAAGTAGTGAGTTTGCAGACGTACAACTAAGGATTACCTGACAAATCCCTCGCAGTTAAAACAATAGATGTTTGTCATTTCTAAATTTGTAATAATTGCCTATTTATTTCTTTGTCTGCATCAGATCTTTTAGGTGGTTCTGTACAGCAAAGTTTAATCACCTGGTCTCCTCAGTACTGATGTTCCCTCCTCCAAGATTGAAAAGGACTGGATTACCTCCTCAGCATCTCATCAAGTTACACAGAAGCCTGTTAATGACTCATTAATTTTAATTAGCTGAGGAGCCTGGAGACGTTTAAAGCATGCAGGGTAGTGGCCCCCGAGGACCAAGGGTGGAGACCACTGGACTGCATCTTAAAGAGATCTAAAGTGGGATCCTGTAGAAAGATTTTTGCACAGGATTCTCAACATTTTGTAAAAATRATGACAAATGCCTTCAAAAATACATTTACTGACCTCTCTGATGAACCCCTTGGTCTTCATGCTTGGTTGGTAGGTAGGTGGCACATCGAGACAAAATGTATTCTGTAAAATTATGTGTGCATATTCACTTATTTTAGTTAACAAGTTATTTTAGTTAACAAGTTATTTTAGTTAACAAGTTAACAAGTGATATGTTGACTTTTAACTAATATAGTCAACATGTATCAAGATCAGCTTATTTAACTAACACATGAGGTTTTATCATGGCTGACATTGGGACAAGAACTGTTGCAACTGTCCCCATACGATAAATCCATATGAAAACAGAACACATAGAGACATTAAGATGTTTAAATTAAGTTTACACTTAAAGGGGTATTGGGTATTCATGACAATTTTATAGTTTAAAACATAAAAGTGTTTAAGATGTATTTTCTGCAGTTGTTGTTTTCAACAATGTATTTAAAATCCCAGTTTCTTTCCATGTAAATTTTGCATAATGTAGGCGTACAGTGACAATAGGCAAAACGAAAGTAAATTGCCTCAAATTGTTCTATTTTCCTTGTCTCAAAAAGTCAACTGTATTTTATATCAATTAGAGTCTTTGACATCTGTATATAAGGTCTACTCATCAAGGCAAATCTGTATTTGTCATTTGATCAAAAAGAATAAATAAATAACACTGTAATATCATTATAACTTAGTTTTTATTAATTTAGCAATAATATAAATATAAAAATAATAAAACTTTTATTTACAGAGAAATATATTGTATTAATAATATGTTGCAACCACCCCCAAGCAATATTGCAACTGTCCCCATGTCCCGGGGTCAGTTGCAACATCCGACTTTTCATTTTCGAATGCAAATTGTGAAGAATGTACATGTTTTAATCATCTGTAAATGGTTTTGACTAGTAACAGACAGATGTAAGTTTATTGTGTTAACATTTGGTTTGTCTAATTCAAACTGTCTCTGAGTAACAGAGTCGAATGCAAAAGGTGTTGCAACTGTCCCCGGTCTCCCCCTACAACACGATCATGATAAAAGGAACATTCAGAAACATTTTCTTTTAATCTTTTATACTAAATTATGTATTCACCATTCATAAACCACATGCTACTGTGTAAGTG